CCCACTCTACCCAGAGGTATAGATGTATCAGAAATTCTACTCTTGCTCTGTGATAAATTTCGGGGTGTTGGACAAAGGATTTTGTTGTGATTTTTTAAAAAAACAACAACAACACTGTTTTAGCCCTGTGAAGAAAAATAACTTCTGAGAATTCTGATATTTACATAGCACCACATTCTGGCTAATTAGAATGTGTCTTCAGTCATGTGTCTCTCACTTTTAACCCTGCTATGGCCTTCAATGTGAAAGAAAGACGTGGTGAGTCTCCCATTATGGGATGTTATGCGTGAGTCTCCCATTATGGGTTAACCCTGCTATGGCCTTCAGTGTGAAAGAAAGATGTGGTGAGTCTCCCATTATGGAATGTTATGGGATGTTATTGGGGAAAATTGCTTCTTTGACCTAAAACTCCCAGAATTCCCCTTCCACCATAGTTAACCTTAGGCTTTTACTCAGAAATGTTGTTTTTTGATATCCAGTGTGGTGTAGTGGGTTTGAATCTCCACTCAGCTATGGAAACTCACTGGGGCTGTGGAACTGGTAAACCACTTCTTAAATATTTTACTTACCTTGAAAGCCTTATTAAGGTCATTTTAAGTTGATTCCAACTTAGGATTGTTTTTTGTCTGATCCATTCAAAAACATTAAGTAGATCTACTATAGTAGGGGCAGTAGTTTAATGTAGAACCGTGTCCCCAGATTTGATGCCCTACTGGTCCCTCTACTGCCTCCCTCCAGATTCTGGAAGCTAGACTGGCCCCATCTTTCCTGTCCTTTGTCAAGCGGGCTGTTTATGTTTTTTGGTATTGTATTAATTGATCCTTTTAGAATTATACACTCATTCTCTTAATTGTTGTAAGCCACCCTGAGTTAAAATATTTTAAATAAATGAACTACTGGGTTTTTGTTTTTTTGTTTTTTTATTTTTGCTTTGTGACTGGTGATGATCTCAAAGCATTTTTTACCTGGTTTACTTGCAAGTAAGGAGACAGCAGCAACAGCAGTCAAGGACAGCTGCAGTGTGAGGGGAGAACATTAAGGTGAAGGTTAGGGAGTCAGAAGGGATTTCCCTTTGTGTGGTGTCACTTTGTGGATGATAGTGGTGGTGCTGGAGGACTCCCGTTCAACACCTTGACCATTTGCCTGTGGAGTGCCTCAGGGCTCCATGATTCCTCAGGCTATTTCACATATACCTGAAAAACCTGAAAGAAACTGTCCAGAATTTTGTGGTCATGTGCCACCAGTGTGCTGATAACACCCAGCTCCACATGCTTTTTAAGATCTTCCAGGAGGCCCTTCTCTCAGTCATCCTTTTTCCTGCTGGCAACATGGGCGTGATATTGTAATTTCTTTTTGTTCTTTTCTTCCCCCCCCCTTTTTTTTGAATCATGAATACAGAAGCACATTATGCCGCATTCATAAACCAGAGGGTTTTTTTTGAAGAACCACATAAACCAGAGGTGTTTTTTTTTAAAGAACTGAATTATTCCAAGCTGAACAACCAACATTGTAAACTGTTCATAAAAAAGCTCCAGGCATTTGATAATTTTGCTTGACTTTTTTCCCCTTTTCAACTGTAGTGATCAGAGTGGCACATAGTATTTTAGCTTTATTTACACTATGAATTTGTATGATAATAATATATATTGGAAGTTTTATTTTTGTTACCTTTTCAATTGCAATAGCAGTACCACTAAGGCATTTGACTCCATAAACAGTTTGTTCTAAGATTCATTTAGGAATTCTAGAAATGTTACCTACATGCTTTGGCTAGAGCATACATTTATTCAGTCATTTTCAGATTTATCCAGTCAAGTATCAGGGTATTTAAGATTACATCTTATTTCACCATTATCTCCCCTGGATTTCAGTCTTCATCTCAAAATCATCCTGAGCACTTTGGTTGGGGCATGATGACATGTTCCTAGTACTGCAGTATGTCTGGGGTCACTTACAACAATTCTATGGAGGACTCAGCCCCTTATAACATTTCTAGGTTGCTTGACACAGTGCCTTCCCTAACATATATAGTGTGTCCAGTATGCCCTCCCATCACGTTTCTAAAAAGAAGTTATCCAGAGATGACCATCTGACTGATTCTCTCTGTTCCACCAGATTCCTGTTAAACCCACTATATATATGTTCCCCATTTTACCTTGCGGGCAGAAACATTTATACCTAGAGTAGACTTTGCTAGTGCACACATTTTCCACTTAGGGCCTCAGACGTCTATTTGTGAATAATTTTATCCCACCCCCTTTGGGCAATCAGAAACATCTTCACATCTATCTTTTATGGATGATTCAACCCAAACCAGTTCCTATCACCTTCCCCTCAGGGTTCAGCTTAAAAGTGGTGTCTCCTTGGTTGCGAATTATTCCAATGCTACTATAAAGAGTTTGGAATTATAATGGAAGAAAGTGTTACAATAGATTTTTCAGGCTATTATGTACAATTACCCTTGCCAAAGAACTATCTGTCTTGAGTATGATAGATTTTAGGAGACAGAGGGTCAAATCGTGCCATTAGCTTTGTTCAAGGTTCCGTGAGCATATTGCATAGTTCTTAACAGAGAAAACCAGACGAAGCAAGGATAGGAATTAACTTTTAATACATATGAAAGAATTAGATTTATCGGCAATAAAAGCTGCTAAAGGTATATAATGAAAGCCTGATCTCTTCCCTCTACTGAAAATATATAGGTATATGACAACCACAGTCTTTTAGATTAGGATTAGTTTAATTTTTTATCCAGTATTTTGTTGACAATCTGTTGCCAATTTCAAGATTTCTATGTGTGAGTAGCCACTGCGTCCATAAGTTGCTGCAGAAGTAGGCTCTTTATTGAGGCAAACAGAATCTTAAAGAGCTAACAGGGCCAAACAAGAACAAATATCAATGGGCACCAGAGAGTTAACTCCACTCTCAGTCCTTTGCGAAACTTTGAATATTAGCCTCTATGTGTAGGAGCAGAATCCCTTCACCTCCATTAAACCTGGAACTCTTCTCAGGTGGGCCATACAAAGGGTGGCACAGCAGGGATGCTGTATGCAGGCTGTTCAGTTGCCCTGTATGCAGGCTGTTCAGTTACCCCATCCAGCCAAGCCCCCTTGTCCTCTGAGAGCCTCAACTGAGCTGCAAGTCTGGTAGCTTTCAGTGGACACTCTTCCAAAGTCCAAGCAGATCCAACTGACTGCTTCAAGATAACATGGTGGTGGGTGAGATGTCATGAGGCGAGGACCTTTCCTGGGACTGAGCTGGAGACAGTGTTATGATCCTCTGACTGGGGCAGCTGCCCCTGGTGCTTCTTCTGGTAGCATTGGGTGCAGCACTGGTTCTCCACCCTGCAAGCCTCTTGATGGCATGCCTCATCGCAATGTACTCAGGCAGCTTCCTCAGGTGGCAACAGCAAGTTTACCTAGTCACCTGTGTCTGGGTTGCACCAATCGACCACTTCCCAGCCTTCTCGCTGGCAGCACCTCCTGACCCTCACACACCTCCCAGTCCACAGCATCAGTCCAGCAGTCCTCCTCTGCCATTTCTCACTTCTCCTTAAGTCGGAGCCTCACCATGGCCACACCTCCTCCTTGTTGCCACCCCAGTCCACTGGGGAGCTACAGATAGGGAACACAACCACAAGTCCTGCCCAGGTGGAGAGCCTATCTCTTTCTTTGTGGTTGTCACCTCTAGTCTGAAGGCTTCTCTAATATGCTGAGGTATGATAGTCTGTTGAGGTATCCAGCCTTGAAACACTGACAAATAAGCACAGCTCAGAATAATCTGCAGCACAAGCCTAACTGTGCTTACCCAGAAGTCATAGTGAGTCCATTTAAGATTATGGGTTTAGTCGCTGATGGGACTGAAAGGTGCATTCTAACTTAAAAGTAATGCCTTGGCTTAGTTTTGTTTTCTACGACTGCTTAGTGTACTTGAACAGCATATAAGAAAATAAATAAAGCTTAGCTCTTTTTCTTTTCATTGCCTTTTACAAGTATCAGGAATGATTTTCAGACCTATATCGTGGAGTAGTTTGTTGACTTCTTAACCAGCAATATATCAGTAACAAATAAACTCTATAAACCAAATAAAAATGGAAATGGAATAAATAAATAAATAAACTCTCTTTTTCCTTCCAGACAGCGCAAACAGTCCTGGTTGTTGTAGTGGTTTTTGGGATATCCTGGCTGCCGCATCATATCGTACACCTCTGGGCTGAATTTGGAGATTTCCCCCTCACTCAAGCATCATTTCTCTTCCGAGTGACAGCTCATTGTCTGGCTTATAGCAATTCCTCTGTGAATCCTATTATATACGCATTCCTATCTGAAAATTTTAGGAAGGCCTACAAGCAAGTGTTCCGATGCCAGATTGGTAACAGCTCCCCTCTAAATGAAGTTAAAGAAAATAAGACTAATATTGACACACCACCATTTACTAACTCTACACACGTGTGAAGGAAAACAATAGATGTCTTTAACTGCAATGCTGTTTTTTTTCATGTGAATGGACTTGTTCTGAGGGGGGAAAAAATAAGCACAAGTGGCTCCCAAATAGAGCAAGCGTTTTGAGGTTCACATTGGCAACTGGTGTTTTATTTTATTGAAGCTCTGTTTGTTATGACAGCTGATGCAAATAAGAAATGTGCATATATGAACATCTGGTTTCAAATCGAAGGCACTTCTCTGAAAGAATTTTTGAAAAAAGTAGATCTCAGTTCTTTGAAAACTAGGACAGAAAAGTAAACAAAACTTAGGTTGGACTCTTTTGTAGAAGGAAAGGTTTTCAGTTCCCAGCCAGAATAATACTTTTGCTCCTATACAAATAAATAAATACAAATAAATTAGCTGAAACAAAATCAGTAAGCCATTATTTCTCATACTGCTTCCTACTTCAATTTTCAGAGAAATGGCATACAAATTAAATCACAGTCATACAAAGAATAGATTTGGAGTACTGTCCAGAGACTCCAGACCATGTAATGACACAATGTAATTAATCCCACAGTTACATAATTGTCCCAATGCAGAGATCATCTAGTGTAAAGATATATGGGACCACTTGCCATGTCATGCTGTGGCTATTAAATTTGATAAAGTTTTATCACTGTACAATTCTGTGCAAGAACATTTGTGTGGGTTTTCTTGTTTGCGAATAAAAGAATGTCAGGCAATTTGGACGGTCTACCTTATTCCAGATGTGCAGGGAGGATCTGTGGGGAATTCACAGTGGTGACCCAGTGCAAATATCCAATGCTTTGCTAGTCTGGCTGTTAAGCAATGTCAAGCAAGGCAGCATTAAATGTCTTTCCACATTTTGATTCTGTATTTTTCTTGGCCACATTAAAGTACAATGCACAGTAGAATACTTATTTTAAACACAGGTGTACCTCCTAAATTTTAGATTTTAAAGAGTTGATTTCAAATTAAATGCATCTTTTCATTCTTCTATCTAGCAGAAAATGGGATCCTCCACGGTAAAAGATTTTCCAGGGATCACAGGGTCACATTGTCAAGACATTTTGATTATTAAGGATAATGATATCATCTGCCACTGCCCCACAGGCTTTACTTTTCCCTCTGAGCACTTCTACAATCCTTGTGAGCGGTGGCGGATTCTTCTTAAGGGTGCTGTTATGAGGAGGACTTCCACGTAACATTTCACCACTGGGGATTTTATACAGTTTCATGAGCAAAAGACAAGTTGTTTATTTACTAAAAGTATACTCTGTCTTTTGGTTTACGCTCAAGCTTATCTGTATTTTTGATGAGCCGAATTGATACAAAAATTGAATTCTTCTTCATGTGCCTTTTTGCATAAACTGTATGATGATGGAAATACAAATTGAGCAAGTGTTCTCAGATGATTAGCTGTAATTGTGATCCAAGTGAAAAAGATATCAAAAAGCCAAGGTTATCCACCCCCCTCCCCTTGGTGACTGAGGACTAGGGATGTGATGGGAAAATATCTTGCTCTTAGTGATCTTGGAGTCTTGCCATGTCAAGAATCACTAGCTAAACTTCCCCTGTCCCAGCTTGCCACACAAAAATGAAAAGCCAGTCTCATCAACCCTGTGCCATTTGGTGTTTCTTCAGTCCTTTCTGGGAAAATTCTAGGTGGAAAAGATGCCATTCTTTGCAGGAATTGTAGACATCCTGCACAAGAGCCATTCCTTCCGTTTAAAAAAAATGACAAGACTTCCAAGAAATCCTGTGAGATTTCCCACAAGATTTTCAGGAGAAGTAAAATCTTATTCAGGGGAATCTTTGTGCAATTGGTTAAAAAAAAGACTTCCAAGAAATCCTGTGAGATTTCCCACAAGATTTTCAGGAGAAGGGAATCTTTGTGCAGTTGGTTAAAAAAAAAAAAGAATCCCCCTTGCCATTTCTGCCCAAGAATGAGATTCACACCCTTACTGTTTTTTAAACTAGCTGTTTGTTTTCATTTTAAATCTTGCTCAGCCAGATTGGGACTATGGTTTATAGGAGAACCAACATAATGTACTACCATACATTATTCCTCCAGACAGGCTTTGGAATGGGGAGAAGGCTCCCAATGGCATCAGTGCGATCTTTCTTCCCAATATCATGTAGAGGGTTGGCCCAAATATGATAGGGGACAGTTCTAACTCTTCTGAACAGTTTGCTGTATAACACTGGAAGGAGGTGGGAGGATAAATCTGCAAATAACAAATAGGAGTGAGCTCATGGAACTAAATATATGCATTGGGTCCTGGCCTTCCTATACCTGTAAAATATTAAGATGATTTACCTCTCTCTTTATGGGCAAAAGTGCATAAAGCAAACAGAAATCTCTAATATGTAGGTTTTTGATATCAGAAAATCTAAATAAATGGAGCAATCCTACTCACTATGTTAGCTTCTGCAGATGATTGGATTCAACCAGGACTGAGCTGATGTAATGGACAATGGAATTCTTTTGGCATTCACCAGGCATTCCCCATTGCCAAAATAGTTGATGAAGCACAGGTACACGTTAAGCATTCCAGGATGGGTTGGGGATTTGAGAACAACTGTTGCCATGTGGAACTTCTTATGGAAGTCCTATCAAGTCCTACAGAAAGGATTCAAATACTTTTTATGGAGTTGAGTAGGTGGGATTGGTCCTCATCAATTGGTCCTGCTTCCCTATTCATATCCACTATCCTGCCCCACCTGTTCTGAGTGTAATGCAGAATGTGTTTCAACAGATGTGGTATAGTGGTTATAGAATGAATATTCAAAGGTAGGGAAAAATACATTAGGGAAGAGAGAGAGCAAAAATACATTAGGGCAGAGAGAGTGTGTGATGAGGGCAATACTAGAGAGAGGCATATTCCAAATTCTAAGTTTAGCTCTAATATTTGCACATTAATTCCATGCACACTTATTTCTGTCCTAAAGGCCATATATACTCCACAGACAACAAGGTCTGTTTGGGGGCAGCAATTTGCTCTCTCTCTCTCTCTCTCTCTCTCTCTCTGTGCGATAAAACATATTCATTGCTACCAGTTCACTGATGCATTTAGCTAAAGTAGGATAGTGTTGTTAGCCCATGTAGTAAATTGATTCCAAATGAAGGTTTGTAATCCACAGTAGATTTTACAAGGTTCTGAGCTATAGATGGCACATCACATAAGTTATTTTCTATTATTTTCACAGTTTGATAAATTAAGCTCAGTGCAACCACAAATCAAAAAATGGTCAAAAACCTGTGAAAGCTTTAACTGAACAATTGACAATAATGGAGGTACAAACAGATCTAGTTGGCATTTGGAGAGACATATGGATTTTCTGCAGATTTTCTGCTTTTGGAAGCCAAAACAAGCAGAGCGGCTGCAGAAGGCTGGCTTCAATTTTTGCAAGTGGTTGACATTTTGATCTGCCCAAAGAGCAGATTTTATCCCTTAATATATGTACATGGCATTCTTCAGAAAACTCATTTGCCTGCTCTATAGCCATTTCAGAAACGTCTGTGCTATTTCGAATATGTGTGCATAGTTCAGTTCTAACTGGGTCTTTTGGTGAATGAAATCAAGCTGTCACCAAATCAGTAAATCAGTACTAATAGAAGATGAAAGCTAGGGCTTTAGGAGATTTGGGAACATGTGGGGTGGGGGGGGGAGTATATAACTCTGCTAAAAGTCCCTTGAATCCCTGCACTGTCTGTCTGTCTGTCTGCAAGCTGCATACAAGAACAAATTGAATTCTCTGCAGAAACACGTGTGGAATAGACTGCTCACATGAGAAAATGGCAGGCACAAAGCAGAGCTTGTTTTGAAAGGGAATCCCAAGTACCCTGTCTTAGTCATTAAAAAGAATATGTACCATATTAAGTCCTTAGTGACTATTTATGTCATTATGAGAATTATCATTGCCAACATTCCATACAGATGTTATGTGACTAATATCCTCATGACCACATCATTATTTGCCCTCCTGAATTATATATTTATTTATTTAAAATATTTTTACCCTGCCTTTCACCTTGATAAAGGACCCAAGGCAGCTTACAAACAATGAAAGACCATATTTAAAGTTGAAAACAATGACTAATTGAACAGTGGTCAACATCATTAAAAGACAATATTGAAAACTATGAACAACAAATAAGGAGGCATCTTGCAACATTAACAGGTAATATTAAAGCAAAGTTCAGTCAGTATACAAAAAGGTCACTCTGAGAAATGGAAAACACAAAAATGGAAAACACAAGTAGAACTAAAAATCCAGTCAAACAATTTATCTAAAAACCACACACAAGTCACTGGTTTACTGAGGGAAGGCTTGACTGAAGAGAAAGCAGACAGGGCTAGCCTGGTTTCCAGTGGGAAGGAGTTCCAAAGTCTAGGAGCAGCAACAGAGATGTGTATGATGAGGACAGACAACTCCTGTGTCCCCATCATACACATCTGTGAAGGTGATGGGATTGAGAGAAAGGTCTCTCCTGGTTATCTTAATACCCGAGCCAGCTCATAATGGGAAATACAGTCTTTGAGATAGCTTGGACCAGGCCATTTAGGACTTTATAGCTTAAAACTTGCACTTTAAATTGTGCCCAGTAACTGATCGGCAAGTCAAGCAATTCAAATAAGTGAAACTGCTCTATGAACATCTTGCTATTTTAGAAAGCTATATTCATATTTCTGAATCTCATACATTTTGCAAAGGAAGACACTATAATCAAGTACAGAAAAAATAAGCCAAAGGGGAAGGAATGCTGTGAAAGGGGAATTCTTTTCAGGGCCATGTCTTAAAATGTTCCACAGTGATTTTTAACAGATTGTGTTAAACTCTTTGTAAGAAAAAGAAATGTCCTGTTGTGTTCTTGATGTGCAAAATTTCATGTGGCATGCATCGGAATATTTCCCATTACTACCAATGCATTTACAGATGCAAAACCAAACAATAATGCGTGGAGCTGCCTCCCTTCTCTTTCTGCCTCCCTGTAGCTGAATGCCGACCGTTGTTCTTGGGCACCATCTTTACTAAGAGTTGAGTATTCTTTTCCTGTATATACAAGTA